CACAATATGTGTCAATTCCTATTCTATAGCTAGTTTCAAATTATATTCCAAAAAGAACCACTAGATGGAGTCAAGATAACAAATGTATTCACATCAGTTCACACATAATACATAGAGAATCGTGTTGTAAAATTCACAGTTGTTTTGCCTAAACACACCATAAACTAATTTTAAAGTAAAACAAGCTGCACCATATATATTTTTCTCTCACAAAGTGCACAAGTGATGGTTGTTAAAATTCTAATTCACCAATCCTATTTTGGTGCATGTTTATAGTTTAGACAATCAGGTTTTAATCACATTACACTGACTGTTGAAATTAATTTGACACCTCATCTCTTAAAATAATGAATTAAATACTTAACATTAATTGAAATGACTTAAGCATGCACATTTAATCCATAGCAAAGTCTACCAATGAGGTGAGAACCTATAGTAGTTGGAATATCAAAGGTTTCATTTATGGGATATGTTTATCAAGTCAGATGACAACAAAACCGAATATATTGTCTTAAAATCTCATATTAGAACTCAGTGAATGGCAAAATGAGGACAGAATTGTTATCAAGCAAAAAGGCTGTCAACAAAACAAATATCATGTGGTAAAATCTCATATTAAAACTCAGCAAATAATAAAAATGGTTTACTAGTTAGAGAACCAAATAGGTCAGCCAGCAGCTACAAAAGCTGGTAATATATAATAAAGCCATAGATCTTTTCCCAAGAAAATTCACAACAGTGATATGTGTTAATGAAAACATCATGTGTATACAGTAGACCTATACATTTTGATTTAAATACAAATAGAGTTTGCATAGGTTTGTCTCACTTTTTTGAGCCCAAGTATTCACCAGTTTAAGTATTCAGGGTATTAAGAGTTCATTATGTCTGGTAGTACTGCAAATTTTATTGGATCTCTTCCTCTCTTTTGTTTATAACACGTCTGCAAGGACATACGTGACAGAATTACATGGTATAGTATGTTAGGCTACGTGTGTAGAATATTTTGGTAAATCTCCCACTCACTTGTATCAAAGCCTTTAAACTGAGGACTCTGAGTGGAAAATGCTTGTGGGTAACACTTGCTGTTTCTTATGGTGCAGATTGTACAGTAATGATTGTACACGTTGAATTGTACTCAATGATATACCACAAAGTAATTATGAATTACAATGACTTGCATCACGAAAATGATTGGGATGTTGAAACATCAGTGTGTTTCAACAGCTGATCCGACCTTTGAAATACAGAGTAAGATGAATCAATTGTTACTTGCGGTATTTGATTTCACGGTTATTGAAAAATAACTTTAAATAATTCCTTAATAATGAATATTCAATTAATTAATTGTCTATATATTTACCAACAATGCATACGAATTTAAACTGTACATCTTGTAGTCCAATAGTGGATAGACTTAATTCCATTTTAAGCTCACCATCATTATTCTTGTACAGTACTTTCTTTCCATGCCTGTCTGAAATCAAATCTCTTCAGATCACTGCTGATGCTATTTCTCTCCTAGTAAATTTTAACACAAAAATAAAATTAAGTACATCATATTAGCTGTAGAAGTCTGATGAACAAAAAATAAATAAATAAAAAAATCATAATGAGGTTATATAAGAGTGTACTGACAAAAAAGCTATTTTCTCTTTGATGAATTTTATTTGTAGATTGGGGGAACTTGAATGGGTCCAGAGTGGCTCTCACATATGTGAACATTTTTAATGGAGCATTTCCGGTGTGGATAAATTTCCCATTAGATGTTCATAAATCAAGTATTTAATTTAGTTACCTGGATGTCCCCATGGCGTGGGTCAGCATGTTGGAATCCCTGCATAATTTCTATATTATGTTAAGCATGATTTCTAAAACAAACAAAAAAACATTCTATGACATGGATTTGACAAAGTTGCTTTCCTGTGCACTATTGTTATCATATTGCAGGATAAATTAGTTAGAAAAAGCAGATAAATCTGACCTACAAACGATTATATTTCTAACAAAATCTGGCACACACAACCACATTTTGAATAACATTTTTCACAGATATTGGCAGGTCCTTCATGAGTATCATTCAGAAATTCTTAAATGTTCATATTTGCCAATGTTTGCAAATAAAAAAGGCTGCTACCAATGCAGATTTCATACCTCCCATAATGCAAAATAATATTTTGTATATTTCACAATGTGTTAATCAATGGGATGTTCTATAGAATACATAGTTGACTTAGAGAATTTTTGGGGTATTTCCACCTTAAATTTGAAATTCAAAAAACTCCACAAAGAAGCAAGGTCTTTAAGACACACCCGTCAGGAAATAAAAAGGAATATGATGTCACTATGTTTTCGTTAAAATATGCTCTATGGAGAGAAAGAGAGAAAACAGATGAGAATAAATAAATATGATTTTCTTTTATATAGATATATTTTTTTCATGTTGGCTATATTTTTCTATTTTGTCTTGTTTTCTGTCTGGCTTTCCCTACATTACCCAAACTGCACAGTACAGTTTGGGTAATGTTTTTGCACTAAACAGCATAATTGCAGTTAGTCTAATTGAATGAATTCAGATACATAGATAACAATCATGCAATAAGAGACATTGCTTTACGAACATTGTCAGTTGTTCTTTATTTGCTGGTATCAAACTTTAGCAGAATTACATATTTTTTTCAACAATGTGTTATAAAGCACTATAATAGTCACATTATGTTTTGATATTACATTGGCAAATAAAATGTAAAATGTAATGCAGATTTATTAAGATAATTACTATTAAGTAAAGTAAAAATGGATAACGCTACAAATCAATCACTTTTGTATATTTGTTTCTGTGTGGTTATAAGTAGAGTTGAGCGAACCCGGACTGTAAAATTCAGGTATGAACCGAACATTACGTTTTTTGGACCGCGGAGCCGAACACGGACATATCACTGTATGTTCGAGTTGGAATTCAGTGTTCGGCGATTTAATGGCGCCTTTTGAAAGGCTGCAGGGCAGCCAATCAACAAGCATTTGACTCGTGTGCCCTTAGAAGCCATCACAGCCATGCCTACTAATGGCATGGCTGTGATTGGCCAGTGCAGCATGTGACCCAGCCTCTATATATAAGCTGGAGTCGCGTAGCGCTGCACGCACATGAGCTCTTATTAGTGTAGGGAGAAGATGCTGCCGCTTTCAGGGACAGATTTGGAAAGAATTCTGCAAACTAGTACATTAGTGGGGTGCACTTCATATCTGAGAGTCAAATAGAAGTGTAAAATACTGCTGTCACATTGCAGTTTTAAAACTTAAAATATTTTGGGTGCTAAAAGTACATTAGTGGGGTGTACTTCATATCTGAGAGTCAAATAGAAGCGTCAAATACTGTGGTTACAGCGCAGTTGTAAAAATTCTAATTGTTTTGGTGCTAAACTGCTAAATAGTAAATTTGGGGCATGCTCTTCATATCTGAGAGTCAAATAGAAGCGTCATATACTGCGGTTACAGCGCAATAGTAAACATTCTTATTTTCTGGGTGCTAATCTGCTAAATAGGACATTTGAGGCATGATCTTCAAATCTGAGAGTCAAATAGAAGCGTCAAATAGTGCGGTTACAACGCAATTGTAAACATTCTTATTTTCTGGGTGCTAATCTGCTAAATAGTAAATTTGGGGCATGCACTTCATATCTGAGAGTCAAATAGAACAGTCAAATACTGTGGTTACAGCACAGTTTGACAAATTCTAATTTTTTTTGGGTGCTAAATAGTACATTTGCGTCCTGCGGTGCACTTCATATCTGAAAGTCAAATAGAACCGTCAAACACGGTGCTTACAGCGCACTTTTAAAAATTCAAATTGTTTTGGGTGCCAAATAGTAAATTTGGGGTGTGCATTTCATATCTGAGAGTCAAATAGAACCGTCAAATACCAATATAACAATATTGTAATTCGGGGGCAATACCCTCACAAGTCAAACTGAGAGGTCAGTTTATAGGGAACACTGTTGCCTGGATACAATTCTAAAACAATTCCCAAATGTCCTTTGCAGAGTTTACATGCTGGAAAAACACAGGTGCCAACTGCTGTGGTTTTCTGCAGTGTGCAGACCGGCAAGGAGGGCAGGGTTGAGGAGTGGGTGGAATATGATATGGAGGATGATGAGGTCCTAGACCCCACATGGAATCAAGGTCATACAAGTGACGTGTGCAGTTTGGAGGCGCTGGTTGCACAGAGGCACTAGCACAGCATAAGAGGGAGCAGGGTGCAAAAGCAAAGCGGCCGTCTCCTAGTGCTCGTCGTCATGTAATAGCTTGAGAATTACCAATTATCCAAGTAACAGATGTAGCGATCAAAGGATCCATAATAGTGTTGAGCGAACCCGAACTGCAACGTTCGGGTTCGTACCAGATTTAACGAGCCATTCCAAGTCTCACACTGAGGGCAGCAGTCTGGTGACCGTGACCCAGACATTGTCTAGGCTGCAGTCGGACGACCGGGACCCAGTATGCCTGATGTTGAAGTTAGGAGTCACAGTGTGGAATGGATTAGCAGGGTCTGGTGCAAGGTAACCGCATGCCCCCTGGTGTTGAGCACCAGCATTTGTGCGGCCACATACCAGGACCCTGATGCAGTTTCAGTAAAGAGAGTACTGGATACCAGAAGCCATCACCAGACTGATCCGCAACTTGGAACAGGATGTGACATTCACTGTAGCAGCTGTGCGCGCTTTTGGCGTTCTCACCCTGCTGCTGCTCGCCTGTCTGTGCTGCAGTATAACTTTGGCCTTCCCGCTCACCGCCTCATATGCGACGTACCCACAAGGTGGAACTCCACCTTGTACATGCTGGAGAGACTGTGCGAGCAGCAGCAAGCGATAGTGGAGTTTCAACTGCAGCACGCACGGGTCAGTCGCTCTTTACCAGACTTGCTCTCCAATTAATCATAGTTAAAGGATTTCAAGTGGACTCATTACAATTACATGGCTTCTAAAGAGTCCTGTATTGTTATTTGTCGTCACTACATCCCCGCGTCGAGAGTAGGTAATTTGCGTGCTTGCTGCCTTCCTTGGATGTGGTACCCATTTCTCAGGTTCCCTCTCCGGAATCCAACACTGATTCCCCGTTACCCGTGGTCACCATGGTAGGGGCAGAAAGTGGCATCGAAAGTTGAAAGGCAAGACATCAAAATGCAAAGTCGCCGTCATGGGGTCGTGCAATTGGCCCGAGGTTCTCTAGAGTCAACAAAGTGCCTGCGCAACTATAATGTCGACAGCTACTCTCCTGAACAGATCTTCACTAATAGGTAGGGGATGGAAGGGGGCCCTGTGCCGGTCCCTTCTCTTCCCCACTCACTGGCAGACATCTGGTAGTACTGCCTCAGATCCTAAAAGATGCCTGGCCAGAAGAAGCTGTGGGTGAGCCGAGATGCTGTCCGGCTCCTGCCCAAATGTCCTGCCAAGGGGATTGTAGCGGAGAGGCAGTATAATCTACAATATCTCCGCTGGGTAACAGGAATAACATAAAATAATCCAGGGGAATAAGCACAGCATACAATAATCCTGGTAGTGTTGTAGTAATCCTTCCTTCCCAAGAACTAGGCTGGGAGTCAACTGAGGTTTTATTCACAGGACACTGTATTTATGGGATTCCCCATGCAAGGGGTTTCCCTACTGACATTACAGGGGTTGTACAGTGGGGGACTACATGGGGAACTGCCCAACACATACATTTCTCCCATCATGCACTGCTGGACGAGAGAGATACTCCCACTGGAATATACAGTTAATGGGATTATCCCTCCGTGCAGCCGAACGCACATTTTACATTAAAATACATAACTTTAATAATATTCACTTGTTTTACACGAATGGACGTAGTTTGTGGAAATACCGCTCAGCTTCCAGTCTAACTAACCGAACGCTGTACGAAATACACATTATTTCCAACATGCGGTTAAAATAGCGATTGATATTAGGGGAACAAACTACCGAACGGCCGGGGCTCCTGAACGGCCTGGAAGACCAGCGGGGTTCGCGCCATCGAGTAGCCGTTTTTAGTTCCAGGCGCTCGACGGCAAAACCCCACTGGGCTAACAAAGGAATCAAGATGGCCGACCGCCCGGTGGTCGGTAGCCGAACGACGGCCACCTAGGGAAGTCTTTAACTACCGATTGCAACAGTGTTGCAATCGGTTAATGGGCGCCACGTGACCTCCTGTGTGTGGTCGACCATTCGGTAGGTCATTTGTTTCACGAACAGTGTTTAAACTCACTGTTCGTGAAACTGCATAGGCAATGCTGGGTTTCACGTATTACAAGCATGCAAACGCTCTTGTTCGCATGAACGCCCCATACTACATTACACTTGGTTCTCACAGCCAGCAAACCTTATAATATCCACACATGCAATAGTCTTAAGTGGCTAGGTTTGCCACAGGGATATCGTGAGCTAGCTTCAGCAGCTCTTACCAATACTTCTTGGGTCTGGGGCTGGCGGTCTCTCACCAGCCGCGTCGTTGGGGAGTTCATTGAAAAAGTGCTCTAGTATGACAAGCTGGGTGATCTCCTCTGGGAACTTGGCTTGATGGAAGTTGAGCCAGTTCTGGTTGGCCCTTGTGATGCGGCGTGCCCACTCCGCATGGGAGCACCTTTCCGGGTCTTCCTAAACTTTCAGCGGTATTGCTCGGGGGTGACCGCATACCGGGCCAGGAGGATTTGGGTAATAAAGGGATAGTCTCTGATCTGCTCTTCTGGTACAGCCCAGTAAATATCCGCTGCCTTCCCCACTAGTTTGCTGGCCAGGATGGAGACCCAGTCGCTGGGGTCCATGTCTTGGAGTAGGCACTGGCGCTCAAAGTCTTGTAAAAAGTCATCGATGCCTTCTTCTCCTTCCTTGAAGTCTTTGAAGGCATTGTATGGTAGCTTGTGGGCCAGGGTGGTTGTTCTTCCTGGCGCCCTCTGCTCCCTTCTTCCTTCATCTGGGTTCATGGAGGTCGCCCTCTGTCTATTGGGAAGAACATAGGATTGCACCCCCAAAAAGGTCCTGCTGACAATCTCCTCTCAGGGTGGCTCTCGGTAATATGCCAGGTGCAGTTCCACCTCCTTGCGCAGTTCCTCCTCATCTCCGGCCCATGGCTGGGGTTCGTTGCCTCACTGCGTGCCTGGTCGTACTCCATGAGCGCAGCAGTCAATTCGACCTTGTTACTCCCACCATGCATTATTCCTCTGGCTCAACACAAGTCCTGCAGTGTAGGTCGCTTTAGAGCACTGTAGTGCATGGGTCTGTTGGCAGGGACATGGGATCCCGCCGCTTGCCACCAATTGAAGCGGGACCTGGGTAACCGATGGTTATCCCCTTTGAGTAGCATAGGTTAGACCCATTTCCCCAGTAACCAGATGGGACACAGTTCCAGGATACAACGTTTGGCAATCTTTATTTGGGTACACAGCTTTGCCTCCTGTTGCCTCCTCCTCCTACTCCGCTTCCTCCTCCTCTACCACCTCCTCATCCGGTCAGCGTAACACCTTCACCACCAACTTCAGCACAGCCGGGGGAAACGACAGCAGGCTGTTTTAAAACTCATATGTTTGGGGGAAAAAACCCACACCGCGCAGGAGCTGTGGACGGGCATGGAACAACAGACCGATGAGTGGTTGTTGCAACTGAGCCTCAAGCCCGGCCTGGTGGTGTGCGATAATGGGTGAAATCTCATAGCAGGTCTTGCCTGGCGCATGTGCTGAATTTGGTGGTACAGAAATTCCTGAAAAACTACCCATATATATCAGATCTGCTGCAGAAAGTGCGTACCGTCTGTGCGCGCTTTCAGCGTTCTCACCCTGCTGCTGCTCGCCTGTCTGCGCTGCAGCGTAACTTCACCCTTCCCGCTCACCATCTCATATGCGACATGCCCACAAGGTGGTACTCCACCTTGCACATGCTGGAAAGACTGTGCGAGCAGCAGCAGGCGATAGTGGAGTTTCAGCTGGAGCACGCATGGGTCAGTCGCTCTGCGGAACAGCACCACTTCATCATCAATGAGTGGGCCTCCATGCGAGACCTGTGTGCCATGTTGCACTGTTTTGAGTACTCCACCAACATGTCCAGTGCTGATGACGCCGTTCTCAGCCTTACTATCCCGCTTCTATGTCTCCTTGAAAAAATGCTTTGATGGAAGAGGATGTGGCACAGGAGGAAGAGGAGGAGGAAGAGGGGTAATTTCCATGGTTATCAGGCCAGTCATTCACAAGTGACTCGGAGGTTGTGTTCCTGCACCAGCATAGGCCAGGTACACAATTGCCCAGCATCTCCACACTGTCCCATGGAAACGTTCAGCTGTCCATCTCCCAAACACTGTAGAGGAAGTACCCCCCTAGCCACCCGCGGTCCCTGGCCCTAAATGCCAGCATTTCAAAATTTGTGGCCTTTGAAATGCTGTCATTCCGTCTGGTGGAAAAGGACAGTTTTAAAAACCTGATTGCATAATTGGACTGCAAGAAATGCACTGCAGGTCGCAAATTTTTCTCATTTTATATGTCCCAATATTTTGGGGGCTACCCCAATTAAAAAAAAATATATATATATATATATAAAAAAACAGTGTTGGCTTCCTCCTCCTCCTCCACTGCTGCTTCTACCTACACTGCCATGGTCACCGCCTCCTCAACCTGTGGGTCACTTAGTATAAACTATGTATACAATAGCAGAGGCTAGTGAAGGCCTTTTCTCCATGCATCAGGAGTTGAGCATTTCTCCATGCATCAGGACTGCAAGAAATGCACCGCAGGCCGCAAATGTTTATTTTTTTATATGTCCCAATATTTTGGGGGCTACCACAATAAAAAAGTTAAAAAACTGTGTTGGCTTCCTCCTCCTCCACCACCGCTTCCACCTACACCGCCACGGTCACCGCCTCCTCAACCTATGGGTCACGTAGTATAAACTATGTACACAATAGCAGAGGCTTGTGAAGGCCTTTTCTCCATGCATCAGGAGTTGAGCTCAGTTTGAACAATGAAAGAGAATACCCTGCACTCCAACCCTCTCTCAAATGGATAATTCTGGTGATCCTCCTGACAGCCATGCTTTAAATTTTGATTTATGTTCTTCCAAAGCTAAAATCAAAGATTCCATCTAGTGCTATTTTATGGCATAACTTTATTTTTAATTTTTAGGTATTTTATGTTATTTTAAGTGATTTCCCTATCCACATTTGTTTGCAGGGCACTTGTCCTACTCTTATCCCCATTTTACTTCCTTTTGCAGCTCTGTAGCCCTTTCCAGGACTTTTTTAGAGGCATTTTAGTGCCCAAAAGTTCGGGCCTCCATTGACTTCAATGGGGTTCGGGTTCGGGGTCAAGTTTTCAAAGTTTGGCCGAACCCCCGGACCCTAACATCCAGGTGTCAGCTCAACTTTAGTTATAAGCTTGACAAAAATATAAGAACCTCATAGATCAACATGTTGCCAGGTTAACTTCATGGCTAAATATAATCAATTTTCTGTAAATTAAACAAGAAAAATAAGGGCTGATGTGTTTGGTCCTTACATTCTATTCAGATTCAAATTTTCAGATGAACTTGGCAGGATATGATCTTGACTATGCTAATATCCTAATGAGTTTATATAAACATTGCAGATGTTTTTATTAACATTAAACACCTGTGTTCTAACTTCCCTGACTTAACGTTAATTAATTAATCCAATAAGTAGTTAACTTAAAAAAAGCAACTAAAAAAAGTGTTAAAAGTCCAAGCATGATTTATATTTGAAATAAAATATAAATAAATATTTAATAAACGGACTGGACAAAGACCTGTGGGGGTAGAAACTGTTGCTTGGTCATCTTTTTTTGGTGACTGAATAAAAGTACATGTATGGGGCATATATGGGGCTAATAACCATGTTCTATGTTTCATGGAAGTAGTCGGTCTCATTTGCAAATAAATAACTGATGACTCTGGTCTCATTTTAAGAACATATTTCTTTTGGAAGATAATTATACACGTGTGTTGTAAATGTAGTTAAGAATTGTTAATTATGCTTAATCAAAGTATGAGAGAAAATATGTCACTGAGATTTACTCATATATAATTTAAGAGTTTTGGGGAGTGACAGTAGTTATGTGTATACTATTTAATGGTCATTAGCTCAGAAACTCTAAAATGAGTACATATTTTGCATTTGACTAGGGTTATTCACTAAAGTATGAATGGTCAGGAAATCAAAGTGATTTTCAAGTGAATTTCAGCTTTAGACTAAAATAGGCAAATAGGGAAATTCTCAAATTTAGCTATGTTTTCATTTAAATGATTTTGGAAATTTCAAACTAACCTTTAATTCAATTAGAAAATATGAAAACAGTAAGAATGAGCAAACATT